GCGGCCTTCGTAGATGTGCACATACATACAAGCATGCATGCATGCATGCATGCATGTATGTATGTATGTATGTATGTATGTATGTATGTATGTATGTATGTCTACATGCCGTAAGGTATACAAGGGCCACCCTACATGTTTTGACGCAATCTTCTGTATTTAAGTATTTAAACAGCATTGGGCTGCCTGGCTGAGACAACCCTCCAACCTTGCCTTAACCACAGACCGAACACCCTCAACCCAATTCCATCCAAAGCNNAAACCCCAAGCCTTAACCCTAAACCCTAAACCCCTTAACCCTAAACCCCCCTAAACCCACAACCCCAAATCCGCAGTCCTGGACCCCAAGCCCAAGACCCTTCAGGAAGTTGTCCGCATCCGCTTCCAGGGCGAGCAGGGCTGGACCTCTTACACGGAGGCTGGTTGGCGGAACAGATATAGGGACCTTAATCATGAGAGTAAAGTTTTGGGGCGTATCATACTATATTTGTGATAAGGAAACCCCAAAATGGTATTGGCAATTATTTAGGCCCCGATAGTACTGTTGGAGCTTTGTGAGCCGATGCTCGATCCCCCTCACCCTAACACCCGAAACCCAAACCAACCCGAACCCTAGACGCTGAATCCCTAAACCCTAAAGGGGAAAGTACCGGGAGCCCAGAGAGTCCCCTCAGTACGGGTACCCAAATATAAGGTTCTTTTAAGGGGATCCATTAAGGGTTTCTTTACGGCTACGGTTTAGGGTTAAGGTCTTGGATCATTGACCTTGGATTTTTTGCGGATTGGGGTTTAGGGTGTGTAGGGTTTAGGGATTCACGGATTATAGGGGTTGAGGATTTGGCTTCAAGCGCAAGCGCTTCGTCAAGCAGGTCTGCAAGCACATTTACGCACGAAATGGCTTTTCTGGCTTCTTCATGGGCATGGGCGCCTGAGCTGCGATTTCGGTGTAGGGGTTTAGGGGTTTACCCATAGTCCCCTTAATAGTTCCTTTTTTGGGTTCATATTTAGAATCCTGTAAGGCAGTCCCAAAAGGGAACTGCTATGGGGCCTATGGGTAGGGTTTAGGGGATTTGGAACGCCAACGTATCTCTTAAAAGCCCAACATATCCTACAGCTTTCTTGACAAGCCCAGAGACTCCAGAAGACCTTCACAACTGCAAAGGAAGATTCCCTTTGTCTGTCTTATTCGGGACCCCGAACAAAGGATGTTTTTGTTAGTGGATATTGGACTCTCTGCAAGTTCAAACAGACTAGGACTTCATTTTTGTGCGAGGCCGGAACCACTAACCGCATCTCCAGCCATATGGAAACAGGTTGTTTCCATCATGCTGAAGTTGCCATTGCGGATATTGGCGGTGGGTGTGCGTAACGATCATTATCGCTGCGGCGTTCCTCGCCAGCGTGCTGTGCTAAAGACGGTCAAACTCGCATGGATCCAAAACAAGAGCCACACTGATTTGAAGACTAAGGCTAGAAGGCTAGTCCTGAGATTTTTCAAATCAAACCCTGGTGTTCGCATGCATCGTTCTGTTGGTCAAGAGCCAAGGTACATGCTTAATTCGTTCAAGTTTTCAGATCTCCTGCACGCTTGTGATCTTCGAGTCCATGCGGGCATGGCGATGAGGCGCGACAGGAAGCTAAGTCCTAAAACCCCCTAAAAAAAGGCCCTTCAAGTTCTAAGGTCTGAAGCCAAGTCTTAAACCCTCAGCAGCACTAAGCCCGACCTTAACCTACCAAAACACACTTTGTTGTAGGTTATTAGTATATAAACCCTAATATGGTATTTTTAGAGACCCTACAAAACAGTAGGTTCTGGTGGGTTGAGGGAGGCTACAAAGGTGGTTTGAAGGCAGACCTCCGAAGCTCCTGGCGATCGGTTGGTTTAGGGTTTAGGGTTTAGTGTTTAACCCTAAACCCTAAACCCTAGGAAAGCTTCAGCTCTTGTTGACATCTTAACATAGTGGCCTTAACAACTACCCATGTTTTTTTTTGTTTGTTGGGGGTTCCTTACCATATTTAGATTATAGTATGATATACATCGTAATCTAGTGGCCTTACCCACGCGGCCCTTAGTAGTTCCTTTTTGCGTTTACCTAATAGGATCCTAAATAGAAGCCACAAAAAGGAAGTACTCTGGGGCCTATGGGCAACAACTACCCATAGTATTTGGGGGGTTCCTTACTGCATTATATTAGAGTAGGATATACCCCCAAAATCACTATTCTAATTATTACCGCCCCTACAGTATGTCTGTGAGACTCTGTGTGTGTGTGTGTGCTTTGGCAACAACCCAAGGTTTAGGGTTTTAGGGCTTTGCATTCAGCTAGGTTCGGGGTTTGGGGAGTCTAGGATCTCGGTGTAGGGTTAAGCTGATACGGATTTAGAGAGTTTGGGTTTAAGCCCCATCCCCTAGAACCGACACCGACGCTTCCCGGGTCCTCGGAGCATGTTGCACGAACCATCTTTGGCCCGGGAGTCTGCGATGCTTGCGGTATACACTTCAGGTGTTTCGGGTTCCTAGCACTGAGTCCGAGAAGAGAAGCAGAAGAGGCCCAAACTGCAGAAGCCCAAGAGAAAGCCAGAACCCTACGCCCTAAAGCCCCAAAATGCCCAAACCACAGAAACCCAGTCCATGCTTCCCCTTAACCCTACACGCTTTGCCAACCCTAGACCCTAAATGAGTTGCGGAGTGCAGGGCTTAGGCTTGTATGTTTCTCTGTCTCTACCCATAGGCCTCATAGTAGTTCCTTTTTGGGGTTCATATTTAGAATCCTATAAGGTAGTCCCATAAAGGAACCACTATGGGGCCTATGGGTAAAGTCTGATGTGGCGTTTAGGGCTTGGGGTTTAGATGGGTTCAGTAAGCCCATCTTTTAGGGTGTAGGGTTTAGGATAGTTACGGGCTTGGGACGCAGATTCCACTGTCGATGCGTGACATGAGAGCCTGTCGCATCTTCGCTTTGCTCCAGGGTGCACCCTCAAAAGAGGACACAGGCAGAGCCATTCGTTTTCCATGCAAACGTCTTGGGACGGAATTTGTTATGGCTGGCCGTGCGCAATGCCTGCAAGTGTTTTTGGGACGATTCGGCCGCTGAAACACAAATGTTCGCGAAGGTCGTGACAGCATTGCATGTCGCAGGCAAGTACGTAAACCGTAAACAGTGGTTCACGCACGTATTATCGGCCACTACGCTGCGATTGTGAGCTATTGAACAGGTCAGCGCTAAAGTCAGCCACGGATTCGGAACTTGAAGCTCTCATGCTTAGATTCAAAATTAGCTAGGCCGCAGAGATTTCGCCAGCAGCGCGGATTCGCCCCACTTCTCTCTTCTGCCGACGTAGTGCCAGCTGTTCTTGAGCTCTGCGACGCTAAGCTTCAAACCTCCTCCACCTGAACCCGTGCGAAGGTATCAACACGAAAGAGTGCTTTCAAGGTTCCTATATTACATATATCTCCGTAACGCCGGCCGCACCATGAAGACCGGATTTCTCTTTGACAGGGTTCGCCATGCTGATACCAATATTATAGAGTCATGGAATAGTTTTCTGTGCATTTCATCAGCATCGTCATGTTCGTCATCAGCGAAATTTGCAGAACGACACAATCCAGGGACGAGGCGTTTCGGACATCTCAGTTGGATGCGGAGGGTCGGGTCGGGCTTTCTTCAATTGTGATTTGTGATGGGTCACACTCATGGTCTAAAAACCTAAAGTTCTAAACCCTAAACCCTAAACCCAGAACCCTGAACCCTGAACCCTAAACCCTAAACCCTAAACCCTTCGATGAAGGAATCGCGCCTGAAAAAGGGCAGCTTCGCAGCTCCAGACATCTGAGCCGCATCCGAGAGCCACGAGATGCTCCCTTGTAGACCCCGTATACTGTAGAATGTACGGTAGGCCAAGGTGGTGATTGTCATTCCTGCTCCAAACGTGAACTTTCCATGACAACTCAATTTGTTGATCAACTGTTTGTACGGCCTAACTTTGTTGGTTGAGAATTTTTAGTTCTAGTATGAATTTGATTCGCGACCTCGAGGCATACATCAAGTCGTTGCACAAACAGCGTCCCTGAGAATCCAGGGGGTTAGCTGCGGGGGTGGCTTAAGCATCATGTCGGCCAATCCGCATCGCAGGCTCGTACACACCAGCACGCTGCTGTACTACTCACCCACTGGTCCCTGCTCGCTCCCGGATCCCGAGCTCCCAACCATGAAACCCCAAACCCAAGGCTCCTAAACTTCCTAAGCCCTAAACATCCCTAAACCCACAGAGCAGTTCTCACTGTGCAGGAGTGCTAGTTCAAAGGCCGCAAAGACAAGAAGCATCCGAACACCCGAAAGCTCCATGAGTATCCTCAGCGCCGTTCCAGTTTCTGTGGCAAAGCTTGGGGAAACGCTCCTAGACTCTGACCCTAAACCTCGAAACCCTAAACCGGACCCCGAGGGGAAGAATTGTCCGGACGCCATGGATTTCGCCTCTGGCTGGGCTGGTGGTGTCATTGGGACGTTGCTGCTGCATCCACTCGAAGCTCAACCTTGAAAACGAGTGTGCATGCACCATGTAAGCTTTAGACCGGCTAAGCTGGGAACTCCGGAGTCCCAAATCCTGAAACTCTCGTTGTTTATATAGACCACTCAACGCCCAATGCAAGGGCTCTTGGTCACGGTTCCGAGACTACGTGACTACTTAGGGGTACTTAGAAATGATTTTTAATCTTTGGTTACTATAAACCCTAAGGCGCAGCTAAAATTATAATTTTTGCTAGGGGTCTATGTAAGTTCAGTATAGACTACAGCTTAAGGCTTCTGGGCTTCTGGTCAAAGCGCCTTGAGAACTCCTCCGACCGAGGACACGTTGCGCACGCGCCAGGCGGTCCACGGCGATGCCCTGACTCAAGCGCTGAGGCCAGGAAGGTTCTTTTAAAGGCATGTATATACGCACATTCACATTTACTGGCAGACATCAGTGTCTGAGTACGTACACATGTATAGTAGGTATACATTGACATTCACTGACAAGTGCAAACACATGTGAGTAGAAGAGGAAAGACAAATAGTTGCGTATACAGACCGTATAATACATTTGAGGGTCCTTATTATAATGACAGGATTATGGGCACTAAAACGTCATTCTCATTATTAAGGCCCCTACATTACTGCGAGGAGGCCTTGTACAAGTTAAGCGAAGGGAGGGGATGTTGAACGCAGGTCTGGCCGTTGACCCCTTGCAGCAGATTCTTCAAAGGATAACCCTAAAGCCTAAACCCTAACCCTAAACCTAAACCCTAAGTCCTAAACCCTAAACCCTTTATAAACCCTAGCGAAAGTACAAGGGTAACCCAAAGGATGATTCTCATAATTGTCCATCACTAAGTCCCTCGATGCCCCATAATAAACCTTTTAATACCATGTACAGCCTATTAAAGGGTATGTGCATCCCTATCAATCAACTATATTCCGAAGTTCCCTGATCCTGCAAGTAGTATAGTGGTCCGAGTACTTGACTAGTATCCCTTCACAGCGCCCCTTAAAGAACCCGGAAAGACATGCTATTCCTTGTACAAAGGCCCCTCTAGTACTGGACTCAAAGCCAATCCGCAGGGCGATCATCCGCAGCGAGGGCATCGCCGCTCTGTACAGCGGTGTCATGAGCCCATGTTTGCCTCTCGGTGCGTTGCTGTAACAATCAGGGTTGTGAAGAGTAAATAGTAGGTCTTAGCAGGTTAAGCGTTTCGGGGTGAGGCCTGAGTTTTGGGCTGTGGTCGTGGTGAGGGAAGCGACGAAAGAGGCGTGTTCTTCAGTCGCACTAGTGTCACCTTTAAACCGGTGCAAGGTGCGAAAGTCGTATTCGTCACATTCCGACCCCCCGAATGATTAGCGCATAATCATCAAGACTGACGAGTTGAGGCAAACACCGCTCTTTCTTGCCATTTGTTAACTGAAGTTAAGGCTTTTGTTGTTCTCAGGGCTTTTGACAATCCTTTTTCGGCACTGTTGTCCTCAAATGCCCGGAGATGGGTGCCTCAAAGGGTCTGCAGCACGTAGAGTCAGCAGAAGGGCCCTATGCCGTGACATGCACCAAGGTTCACGGGCATCTGGAAAGGAGCCCGATCGACCACCTCCGTCCCAAAGCCTAGAGCTACAAGCTCATACAGACGGACCCTAACCCTTAAACCATAAGCACGTACCCTTCGAGTCAGCAGGCTTGGTTTAGAGCTTGTGGAGCTCGGGGTTTGCATCTGCAGAAGGAGTGGTTTAGAGGTGGGAAAGGTTGCTTGTTCTCAGCTTGCGTGACCAAATTAAACTTACGAAACTCAAACCAACTTCTCAGGTTTTTTGGGTTCCAAACCCTGTAAGCATCGGTAACCCCGAAGTGAGACACTTTTGCAACTTGGCTTTTCTGCTCCCGACCCTCCAGATCTCTTTACCCAAAAGTCGGCGCTGATACATGGAAGTCATGACATTCGTGAGAGCCTTACTTGCGAGCTTCTCCATGTTATGGACCTGCTTTCTTAAGCCTCCATGCTTGCAGAAAGCGTTCTTCAAGACAGTAGATCCTCGTAGCTTAAGGAGAGAGCCCTAGGCGCGAACTTCCTCACCTGATCGCCAGAGAGGTGTTTTTAGTAAATTCAAGGGACCGTCTTGGTGCAGATCTGCCTGCTTAGGGTCTGAGCGTGCCTGGCATCAGTTTGCAAGCTTGGATGCGACTTGTGGTTTAGTTTGTAGTCACAATAGCCATGGGGTGATGCAACCCCACACGAGGAATAACTTTAGCCACCCGCAAACCTAAACCCGAAACCTAAATCGCAAAAAAGACGCAAGGAACTGGCCCTCGTAACCGAGACCGGTAGACAGTACCCAGCCTTTAAAAACAACCGACCCTCCCGGAATTAATCCTGAAAGCCCGATCACCCTACACCCTACGCCAGTAGACTTATAGTAATAATATTTAACTCGCTACTAACACTGTAGTTTCCTTCGCCCCACACCCCAAAACGAATCCTTATGATAACCCCTCGCCATCACTCCTGCAGGCTTCTTCACCCCAAACCTCTGAACCCTAACACAGCCTAAACCCTAAACCCTAAACCCTAACACAGCCTAAAACAAACCCTTTGCCGACTTTGGACACCCGCTGTCGGAGGAGTGACCCTCTTCACTCACAGACAGCTCCAACATCTCCTAGCCAGGCTTGGCAGAGCAGAAGGACAATAGTGTGGAATACGAATGCAAAAATCATATACAAGGATAGTTAAACAGTGCTATAGCAGCAAGCATAGTTCAAATCATGGTAGCACACATTTAAACTAAACTGTCCTCTCCGGCGGGCTTCTGAAAATGGGCCGGGGGGTCTTGTGTTATTTCACGGATCCTGCTGTTTGGGCATGTATAGTGCTCATCAGCATTGGGGATCCTGGATGAAGAAGCCCCCTTCTTGATCATGCTTTTGGCTTTTTGGGGGGTCCTACACTACTTGTAGCATTTTCAAGCAGAGCTTAGAAATAGGCTATTCACTAAGTAAGCCTTAAGCACCGCATTCAGAAACAACGGTTGCAAAATGGCTAGTACAAGCGCATAAAGCCCTCATTAAAGTCCGTCTTGTCCTTACGGATTTCTTGCGATACAAGGTCTGAGTCTGATGTCAGGAGGCGCGCCGTATTCCCCTAGTCTCGGTCGTCGATGACGCAGGCCTAACAGCTAGCATATTCCCGACAGCTTTGAGAGGCTCTTGAAACGCATAATGTTGCATCCCGCCGGACGTGGGTGCGCATCCGAGGCTGTAGAGGGAGAAAGGCTCTTCGAAGGGGTGTGAGGGTGATGCGTCCTGGGGCTGGGGCTGTACAAGGAGATATTCTCTTGAGTGGGGTGTGGACGTGGTGTGTCCCGGTACTGTAGAGGGAGATAGGCGCCTAAGAGGGCGGGGGCAGGCGGTAGGGGGGAGGTTGTATGTCGTACAGCAGATAGCAGCGGTATGTAACAGCACAGAATAGTACAGAACAGTAATACAGTAGCAATACAACAACGCGGGAGTACAGCAGTAGTACAGTTTTGCAGTAATGGGTTTAGGATCATTTACAGGGGTTTTGGAGGACCTGGGGTTGTTTTTGGGTGCCCGAAATCCTCGAAACCAAAGCTCGATCCATTCAAGGTTATCACCACGATTCAAAAACTCTTCATTCTGAAGTCTTTTCCATCCTACAACCTCCAAGGCCCGAGGCCTGGTTACATGAGACGTCTCGGGCCTCTTCTTCTCCTGTACTCACTTCGGGCTGACCGCTAGAAGCATCACTAGCAGAAAGGACAACAAATACCACCCCAAAAAACTGTCACGGCATGTCCCGCCTAAGCCCTTTCGGTACTGGTATTGGGACTCGTCCCTCAGGCACCGTGGCTTCGGCGATGCCTCGCAGCTGACAGTCTTGGCCGCCCGGGTTCATCGGGTTCTTACATACATGTGCAGATTCAGGTGTAGGCGCATGTATGTATGTATGTATGTATGTATGTATGCATGTACGTATGCATGTACGTATGCATGTAAGCAAGGTTGGTGGTCCAGGGCTTCAGGGTTCGAGCATGTACTTCAACCCAGCTAAGACCGGACCTAGAAGGTCGGGACGATCAGGTCATGGCTTCATGCTTTTGGGAGTTGGGTTTCGGGTTTAGGGTTTAGGGTTTAGGGAGTTTTGTGATTCAGAGCAGCGCCGTTGCTATCCAGGTTCGTTTCCACGGTGTCTTCCTCTTCCTCCCCGAAAAATGTGAATGTGCCCGCTGGGTTGTAGATCCTTGTAAGTATGGCAGGCTAAAACCTTGAGGCCGAAGTAGCAGGATCCTTTATAAGGACCTCTCACTAGAAGGTACCCAAAGTTTTCAGACTCCCCCCACGTTACCCTGAAGGTTGGAGGGATCCTTGTTCACGCGAGCCTTGCAGTCGATCTGCAATCCTGTACCAGAAAAGCCAAGCATCCAAGTACCATTGACTAGGGTGCTGTAAAGAAGCCCTAAACCCTAAACCCTAAAGCCAACAGAACCCCACTGCTAGAGCACAGGGCATCCAGAGCCACATGGCAAGGTTCTCTAGCGCCACAAATCCTGCATCGTTCAGGGTCCGCGCTGCTTCTGGGATCTAGGGGATTCAGGCATTATGGAGTGTTTAGGAATTTACGGTTTCTTCTTGCTGCACTTTCCTTGGGTTCTCCCAGGAGGTGGCTTGCTGTGCCAGCGTCGCCGGAGCAGTCGGTGGCGCGGTGCTGGCACCTGCAGAGCTCGTCAAGAGTCGGTCCCAGATTTGTGGCCTGGCTCGTATGGGTTATGGGGTTGATAGGGTTTGACGTTTAGGACCTGGGGTGTAGGTATGGTCCTCCCTGCGAGCCCAATACCCCATAAACGCGGATGACACCTTGAAGCAATTCCGAATTAACACCACGTTCAAGCTTTGAACCCACTATGGAACATGTTACGTCTTAACTGTTATGTAAAAAGCCCTGGAGCTTTGATCCCTGAGGTTCGGAACCGCACAGCTCGCCCTTCCAGAAGGAGCTGAACCAGGTGCGCGATGAGTCGAAGGTTTACAACAGACCCAGAGACTCCAATATCCCTTAATTAAGGAATATACCTTAAATTATAGTAGGATCCGTAATATGATTTAAGGTATATTCCCTAATTAGGGGGTATTGGAGTCTCTGGGGACTCAGTTTTTGGGTAAGCATAGCAACATCGTGAGCCCTGCGCCCTAAACCCTGGCCCTGAATCCTAAAGCCCTAACCCCAGATTCCCCAAAGCTGACAAACCCTGCGAGGTGAGAGATAAAGCCCTCGTAGAGATCCTGTCGTGGTAGCCCCCTAGCCCATACATACATACTTACATACAGACATACATACATACATGCATGCATATGTGGGTGTGTGTATGTATGTATGTATATATATATACACACACACTTAGATATACACACATACATACGTACGTACATAGCTATCGATAGATGGATCCATAGACAGAGCCCTTAAAGAATCGCCAAGAGAGACCCTAAACCCTCAAACCGTCAACCCATTAACCCTTAAACCCTAAACCCTTAAACCCTTAAGCCCTAAGCCCTCAAACCCTAAACCCTAAACCCCAAACCCTTAAACCCTAAACCCTTAAGTTGCATTACAAACCCCCAAAAAACCCTAGACCCTAAACCCTAAAACCCTTAGGTCAGGGCCCTCTTTCGGCCGGGAGCCTCTGCCAGCCGAGCCTGCCGCGGCCTCCCTCTCTTGCTGCTCAGGGATGGCCCCGCAACCTTTGTAGGCTCGGTGGTTTTAGGGGTTTAGGGGTTTAGGGTTGAGGACTCAGGGTTTAGGGCTTAGGGTTGGGCCGCCCCGCAACCTTTGTAGGCTCGGTGGTTTTAGGGCTTCAGGGTTTTGAACATCTGGGGTTGAGCAGTTTTCGTTGTTCGAAGGGCGGGGTTATCGGGTCTGAGACTTCGGTGTTTATGGTTTGGGGCTTCATGGCTGTAGGGCTCAGGGTTTGGGGATGCCCGCAGTCTGGGTTACGAGCTCAGGGATGTGGTGCATAAGAGATTTCCCTGATAAAAGTTGCAGTAGGGTTCGTCGATACTGCTTGCGATATGTGATGGTCGGGTAGGGTCCCATAGGATCGGATACGGATAAGATTCCTTCGAACCATAAAGAAAGGGGCCCTGGGGGTCAGGGTTTGTGCTTGTGGCCGAATGATGGTGCTTAGTTTAGCTCGCTCTCTGAGCTTGGAGACTTTAGCGTTGGGTGCTTTGTCTAAGCAATCAACTCCCAAACCATAAACCCTGCGCCCTAAACCCGAAACCCTACATCGTAAAACCCTAAACCCAAAACCCTAAACCCTGAACCGTAAATCGTAAAGCCCTAAACCCAAAACCCTAAACCCGGAGCCCTAAACCCCAAAAGCCCAAAGCCCTAAACCCGGAGCCCCAAAGCTCTGCGCCTTCAGATCTGGGGTGCTATGAGCTGGTGAAGCGCTATGGGCAAGAGCACGGCTGGCCCTGGCGGCTCGCTCTTTTGAGAGGCCCAAGAGTCTCCACCAAGTCTTTACACCCTTTATATATTAGGGTGTAGGGCCGTTTAGGGTTTAGGGTTTAGGGTTTAGGGCAAAATTATTCCCAACACGATTTTGGTGGCTCCTTGTCATGACTATAATGGATTATACCCCAAAACCGTATTCTAATGATTAGTTAGGGCCCCTATATTGCTCCCGAAACCCTCATCCCTGCCAAACCCTATAAGCCCCAAACCCTAAACCCCGTAAGTCCTAAATCCAGGTCTTGGGTGCTTATCCCTTACCAGAGTCTCCAACGGTAGCAGGGTAATCATCCTACCATATTCAATCCGAAGGTAGTAAGGTGGTAGTGAATCCTTTCCCCCGAACATTAAACGGGGGGCCTCTCTCCCCACCAATAGATACTCAGAAAGTGTTTGTATTGTTAGGGGGTATTTGTAATCTCTACTGCCACTTTCGAGGGGATGTGCTCTTGCTCCTGCTCTGGCTCTTGCTCCCACGCTGGCTTTTGCTCCTGCTTCTGCTGCGTCTCTTGCCCCTGCTCCTACTCTTGCTGTTGCTCCCGCGTTTGCTCCTGCTCTCGCTCTTACTCCCACTCGTGCTTTTGCTTTTGCTTTGCTCTTGCTGCTACTCTTGCTGATGCTCCGGCTTTTGCTCTTGCTCTTGCTCTTACTGTGCTCTAAGGGTATCTGGAGCATCGAAACCCGCCGCGCCCCCTAATTCAGAATAGGTTTGAAAGGGCAGGGATGATTTCCGGAGGATTGGGCCCAATGTGTTTTTATTTTTAGGGGGGGTTGTTTAATAAAAGGGGGAAGCGACTAATTTTCTCTTGCTCAAATACTCCCCGCCCTGCATGTCCTGTTATCAGCACCTGAAAAGAGCCAACACAATCTGAAGGCAAGACCGGGCTCGGGATTCGAAGTGCAAAACCTCGTACTAGTAGTCGTCGTTGTCGTCGTCGTCCTTGTTGTCACGGTGCTCATATAATTGCACGGCAAGTCTCGAAAAGTGTTCCAGGTATCCCTAAACCCAAAGCCCGTAGCCCGAAACCCTAAACCCTGCACCTTAAACCCTCAACTCCAAACCCAGGTATCTCTCATCGGCGGCTGCTGGCGCTCTGGCGGCTCCAGCTGGCTGGACCTCGATCTACCCTATCGTGCCCCGGCAGTTTTTTTCTGGGATCCGAAATTCAGATCTAACGTTCGCAGAATATGAGGGTACTTCAGTACATCAGGGGGCACCCTATTTCGAGAATGCCATAATATGCAGGACCAGCCCTTGTGTCTATACTCGGGTCCCCGGTTTCTGAGACTGGCATAGTTCTAGACACCCGCAGTAGGATGGCGACCAGAGAGCATATTGCACTCAGTAGAATCCCGATGCTCAAGACTCTCCCGACCCTCCCTTACTGCTGGCCTGTCTTTGCCTTCTGGATCTGGCGTTGATCCCCAAGTTTTTATACGCATGGAAGCGAGCCGGACGGTGCACCCAACATGAGCACTTGGTCAGTGTCCACATGCCCGTTTGGGCGAAGGCTTGCAGTTGTTGGAAGAAAATACTGCCACTGTGGTTTGTGGTGAGGGGCTTGGATATGAAATCCTCGACCGTGTTTTTCGGAGGTTCGGTAACCGTCTTCTGGGGGACTGCTCACCCTCGACCAAAGAGCATTGCCCTGACAACGACTCTATAGCATGAGCAAGGACCGCGAGTAGTGGCATTAACACCAAGACGAGCAGTGTTTCTCACCTGAGCCAGTCTCCTGAGCCAGTCTGCGTAGTGTAGTAGGCACACACATGCACTTGGTGTTAGTGAGGATGCCAACCGAGGAGATCATCCGCATTCGATATCAAGGAGAATCGCGCTGGAATACGTACGGCGAGGTGGCCAGACACGTCTACGCGACTCGAGGTGCGGATTCTTTGCAGCTGTCCTTGTTTTCATGATCTCCCAGTTGAAGGGGCTGATCATGAAAGGGATCCACTATCTTCAGCAATACGTTTATTGAAAGCCCTGATCAGCCCGAATCCGTCCCAGGTGTGTCTGGCTTCTTCCTTGGCTGGAGGACCTGTTTATTGCGACTTGCCTCATCGGGAGACTCGATGTGAGGGGCTGTTGAAGGGATGAGTGCGCAGGGTGTGTGTCTGGGATGTTTTGAAGAAACTCCTGTTACTGTTGTTTCTCCCGCTGCAAAAGACGACTGAATGTGTTCTCGCATGTGTGCTTCAAGTTTGTAGGCAGCAGCTATAGGACTTAGGAGTGTAGGAGCGGGCAACTTAATTACTTGAAAGGCAAAGACCCTCGAAAAGCCTGAACCCTGAACTCTGAAGCCTCAGCCTACAAGGGCCCTACAAGGTGCACAAGACCACTCTTTGCCGCAACCTGTTGGAACCCCTGTCCTTGTCCAAGCCTTAAACTAGAAGCTGTGTGGCCCCGGATCATGACATCAAGTGTTCTAAGCGTAGCAATCGCAGTAGTAGCAGTAGTATTTGTAGTAGCAGCAGCAGCAGCAGCAGCAGCAGCAGCAGCAGCAGCAGCAGCAGCAGCAGCAGCAGCAGCAGCAGCAGCAACGTTAGCATTAGCAGCAGCAGAGTGGCAGCAGCAGCGGCAGTAGTAGCGGTCGTAGCAGTCGTAGGACGTAGGAGTAGTCAGTAGAGCAAGTAGCCTAGTAGTCGGGGTGATGGTGGTGGTGGCGGTGGTGGCGGTGGCGGCGGTGGTGGTGGTTGTTGTTAGTGTTCGTTAGGGTTCGATGAGGAGTTGGATGTCGAACCAGATCCAGCCTGGACCCCAAGTAAAGTAGCTGAGCAAAAGGATGCTTTCAGCATGGCCTTTAGATATTTAGATATCTGAGTAGTACGCTTTTGCCCTTTATCGTATAATTCGCTTGTTACAACTGAATAGCAGGAAAAAGGGTACCCTTATCATTATGTAGCGGTCCCTCAGGAACCTAGATGCAGTCACTCTTCATGACAGCCCGCAGGCATGCCGGGCTGCGGAACGTTTGCGTCATGGTGGTGTATGAGCTCCTGAAGCCCTACCCCAGCGACTCCAAAAGACACCTTAGTTGAAGAAATCGCTATTCGATTCCGATAGGGATTCTCATCTCAGGGATTTCACTTCAAGGTTCGCAATCCTGAATGATGCGACCTTCATGTAAAGAAAGCGAGACATTGGAGTCTCTGGCCAGCCAGGAGGGTGACCTCATGGGCCGTTTTTTCCGCTATTTTCCATGCGCTGCCCTGTCACGTCGTTTGAGACGTAGTGTACGGGCCTAAACAATTACCAATACTATTTTTTGGGGGGTTCCTTATTACAATTAGAGTATAATGGGCCCCAAACCCTTATTCTAATTATTAATTATAAGGCCTCTATATCAGGATGTGGCTGCCGCAGATTTCGGAAGGGAGGGTTCGATGCAGTTTTGTACCTAGGAGCATCAATGGAACTCTGATGTGCTGGGTTTGACGCATTGGCGGACGTGGCCGTGCGGAGGGATTTGCAAGAAAGGGCACCTGAAT